GGACTGTTGGCAGCTGCACTGGGTCCCTTCTTCCCGCTCTTGTCCTGAGGCACGTAGACCTGTGCGGTCCAGTTCTCTGACCTGGGGAGGCAAGGGGATTGATGGAGGACAAGTGATCGCGGGTGCTCGGGGCAAGGAAGACGGGACTTTGCTCCCCAGACTCAGTCAACAGAGTCACCTTGCGTTGCCAAGACTCGCGGGGCACTTTCCAGGCCGAGTCCCCACGCTGGTCGCCGCGGGGTGGCGCAGGGACTGGCGGGGGGACTCAAAAGAAGAAACCTCCACTCCTTGGCTTTGTGTAGCCCTCCTGGGTCCGCAGGGAGGGGAGAAGGGGCCCTGAGGCGTCTGGATCCGCCCGAGAGTCACGGAGGGAAGGATGCCCCGGGAAGCTGTGGCCACGCGTGACTCCCTGTCCTGTTTCCCGCCCCCCCCCCTTCTCTTGGGAAAAGCAGGCTGTGGCGGGCCCTAGGGACCTGTCCCAGAGGCGACTGCAGAAGCGGTCCACTTCCCAACCTTAGGCGAAGTTAGGGCTGCCTCCCTAACCAGCCCCAGCCCAGTCAGGTCTCACTGTTCAGCGACTTTGCAGCCCTTGGCTGCCCCCTCCAGCCCTTTCAGCGGGGCCCTAGTGCTCCCGTCCACCTTACTGGCAGTTTCTGTGTCCCTTCGTCTGGCAGCAGCTCCCCTGCCTTCCCCTCTTCCCGCTCCACTGCCCGCAGACATCCCCGCCTCCTTGTCTCTGCGAGTCTCTAATGAAGAAGTAATCCCAGCGCCGGTGTTGATGGCCGGCCCACGCGCTCCAGTTGGGGCACCCCTTGAGTTCAGGGAAGTGGAGCATGGAGGCCGTTCTCTTTGTGATCACAGTGGGCAGTGCTGGGCGCACTCCACTCACCATTTCCCGTGGGCCTGGTGGTCAGGGTGGGTGCGGGACAAGGACGGCCAGGGCCTCTACGCCCCAGGATGTGAGGGTTGCACGCTGCAGAGAGGACTTGCTCCAATCTGCAGGTTTCCACTAGCAGGGCCCTCACTCAGCACGTAAACCATATTGAACTTATCTAATCCACTTGCCTGGCCCACAGTTTAAAAGCCAGAGTTGAACCCTTGATTCTTTGCAAATGGCTCCCCCATCCCAGCCTCACTCCTTCCCTCAGCGCTGGGTATGTTGGCGCCTTACTAAGGGTGTCTTATTAAAATGTGAACCACCACATGTGTCCAGGGTTGGGAGTAGGGCATTGTATTATGTCAACTAGCCAGTGAAGACCTCAGTAATTGTAGGGACAACTTGATGGTACTTTGCTCAGCTGATGTGGAGAGTGGGTTGGGGAGAAAGCAATGCAGAATTCTGTTTCAGCACTTGGCATGTCAGGCTATTCAGAACAGTTTTAAGTTTAAGTACTAATATGTCTTAACAAAAAGGGACAAAATAGCAAGTGAGTTTTATGTCTTTGGGGAAAAAAAATCCCTATGAGGAATCTACTAGTATAGAGTTTTCAGAAAATCGTTTACTCAGTGATGGCGTACACAGTTCTATCACTGACTCATTAAATATAGATTTCAAACACAATCTTATAAAGTCAAAGTAAGAGAAAGCTTACTTCCGTGAAGGAGAACGTTTAAACCACAGCGAAGCCTGGTTTTACTTGACATGATTGGAACCAGGGCAAGTTTAGATCTTGACCTAAGATGCCAGAGAAGGGGTTGTATGACTCTTGAAGGAAACTTGGTGCTGAAATCTGAGAGAGAAAAAAAAGTCAGAGCCTGAATACTATTTGCATTATTGCCCCAGCTAGTAGTTTTCACTTTACAGTCACAGCAGGGGGCGGGTGGGCAGGGGGGTGGGGGGTAGAAGGGGCTCCCTAAGTTGCAAAAGAAGAGTTTAGTTTTCATACAAACATGGAATTGTTGGAAGGTAAATGCCTATAAATGCAAGTCTTTGAAGTGCAGGTCTTTTGATGGCACTTCCTTCTTTGCCTTAGGAAGTTCAGCCACCCTGCCACCTCAGGAGAGAATTTGGGATATATTTAAAATTTGAGAGTAGTATTAAAATATTGTTGCTTTAACTTTTTGAAGGGAACTTTTTTGGGGATGTGCCTAACAATAATAGCAGAATTCCTGTCAAGTTAATATGCATATCCTTATACAAACAAAAGTTGAGTAATCTTGATTGTAGGTCCTTGCTTTTTATCACTTTGAATATTTCTTGCCACTCCCTTATGTCCTGCAAAGTTTCTATTGAGAAATCAGCAGACAGTCTTATAAGCCCGCCCTTGTAGATTACTGTTTTTCTCTTGCTGCTTTTAACATTTTCTGTTTGTCTTTAACCTTTTGCATTTTAATTATGATGTGCCTTGGTGTGGGCCTCTTTGGGTTCATCTTGTTTGGGACTGTCTGCACTTCCTGGATTTGTATGTCTATTTCCTTCACCAGGTTAGGGAAGCTATCATTTAGAATAGAACTTATAAATAGATTCCCAGACAAGAAAAAGCTAAAGGAGTTTATTACACCAAAGTACCATTACATGAAATGTTAAAAGGTCTTCTTTAAGAAGAAAGAAAAGATTAAAAATATGAATAATAAAATGGCAATAGATACATATCTGTCCACAATTGAATCTAAAAACAGTAAGTGAGCAAGCAGAGCAGAAAGGGGCTGATAGATACAGAGAACATTTTGATGGTGGCTAGTTGAGAGGGGTTTGGGGAATGGATGACAAGAGGTGAAGGGATTAAGAAGTACAACGTGATTATATGAGGCTGTAGAGCATAGCAGAATCAATGATATTCTAATAACTGTGTATGGGGTCAGATGGGTGTGAGAGTTACCAGAACTCTCACATAGTAAGTTAAACAATGTCTAAACACTGGGGCATACACCTGAAACTACTATAATACTGAATGTCAACTATACTTGAAAAATAAAAAAAAAATGATTAAAAAATATAAAACTAAGAAACGAAAATTGAAAGCACTCCTATACATGCAAAAAAAGAGCACTTCTTGTGACAAGATAATCCATTTTCATGTCTCATGCCAGCAAGTAGGGACTCTGTAAACTTGTTGATGATCATTTTAAAAAATTCCTACAAAGGTTACCCCTTTATCTTTTTTACTTTGTAAATTGCTTTAGTCATTGGAACTGATCTTTAACTTCAAGTTCTTATTTAGTTTATGTTTTTAATTTTTAACTAGCTATTGATAGAAATAAAGTGGGACTTTCATTTTCTTTTTTGTTTTCTCTCAGGGATTTGAATGGAAATAACATCACACGGATTACCAAAATGGATTTTGCCGGCCTTAGACATCTAAGAGTTCTGTAAGTACGTTCTTCTGTGTTTTGAATAATTTTCTTTCTTTTTTTTTAAGCTTGCATATTTTGAATTGTAACTGGTCTCAATATTAAAAACTGTCCCAATAACAAAAACATAAACATTTACAAGGTCTTGGTTTTCTTTTTTTAGTTTATCACTATACTACAACTTTTATTAAAATGTAGGCTTTTATTTTAAGGTTGGATGCAGGCCATAGAAACGGTACTGTAGAAATGGCCTCAAGTGTTTGCAATGCCATACCCTAAGTGCCTTAGACATATAAAAATGTAGAATAATTACTTTCACAATATGAATAAGTAATGTGAGACATTTGATGCACTTTTAGGATTTCAGATTTACTAGAAATAATTTAAGTGGGTCTGCATTTTTACTAATATAGAAATGTTTAGCCTTTTCTGTCAAACAACACGCAGATAATTTCTAAAATTAAAATCAAACAATCCAGCTTTCTACAGAGTTTATGATGGGACATGTTTTTTTATGCAAGTACACTGGTAATATTTTTAATTCTTATATTTTATATCTTTGTAGCTTTTATAAAATTCTTGTAATTGAATTACCTTTCATTAGTGAGTTAAATTAGTTCTGAGTGAAGCATCAATTGAGATTCAATATAATGTAAAATTCTTTTCCCCTCAGGTTTGTAAATATTTCCATCACAGTGAACATATACTTGGATCGTTGTGTGTTCAGTGTTCTTTTAAAAGACACACTTGAACATTATGAATGCGTCCAATTTCTGATACATATCCATAAGTTAACTGAATTATGTGTATGATGAATTATTATATATTTATTCTCTTAGTTAAGACCTCAGTTGAAAGTCAGTTTACTGAAAAACATCCATCAGAGCTGCAGTGCCATAGGTTGTTTTCCAGAAAATACTATGTTTTAAGGTGCAGAGTTTGGCCAGTGAATTACATGTCACTGTTAGCATTTTTTACTGAAAGTTTTGGGGTGTGGATGCTATTTCTCCTCCTTGACTTCTCTCAAATATATCATCATTGAATTTGATATTAAATCTCAAACCAGAGCAAAATTTAACTTCATAAAGAGAAAGAGAAAGAAGTTGCACATTTTAGTTGCTGAATTGAAACTTCTGACGGTGAGGGCTAACATTAAGACTCCTGCTATATTTTGCATTTCAGTCAGCTCATGGAGAATAAGATCAGCACCATTGAAAGAGGAGCATTCCAGGATCTTAAAGAACTGGAGAGACTGTAAGTATTTTCAATTCCAAACTTATGACGACATAACTGTGTTTTTAAAAATACTTGAATTTCAAAGTCCCTGCCTTTAATTTCATGTCTTAGTCTTTGAAAGTTTATAGATACAAGAGGTTGAATAAGTGCCTTTCAGACTCATTAAAAAAAAAAGACCCCCCCCCTTTTTTTTTGCATAAATAGGACTAACTTGAAATAAAGCTAAAAATACAGACTCACTTTCCTGAAACATTTACTCCCTTGATAAGCACTGCTTTGGTACTTTGAGATGTACATGGTTTTCTTATTGCTCATCTGGTTTGTTTTATTTGCTTATGTAGGAAGAAAGGTGGTCATTTCATTTGCATTTATGCTGAATTATGGAAAAGAAAAGTTTTGCTAATAGTATTTTCATTTCTATGCTGTTTCTTTGTGTGTCATCAGTGATAGTTGATGAATTATTTTAAATTCTTAATGATAAAGATTTGCTTTCTGATATTTAACACTGACGGTGAATATTGTTAATCACTTCTATTCACAATTGTATTTCATTATTTTAAAGTGACTTTCTAAGTTTTTCTGCTGGAAAAATCATTTAAAGATTAACAGATATGGAAGTAAGAGTTATGTCTTCCAAGGGTGGTTATTATTTTCCAAAACGGGAAATGGAATTCAGACTTTAAAATACTTTTTTATTTTCAGACGCAAAATTTTAAGGATTGGTATATATTACCTGAGTGCCATTACTATATTATAGCTACAGTGTGTAGCTACAAAGGACAAAACATCTGTCTGTAATAATTAGGATAAATTACACACTTTGTAATTTGATATATGAATTCCATTTCTCATATGTCTTGATAATTCAAGTTTAGTAGATTTGCATTTTAAGGGCAAATACAACTTTTTTAGAAGTAGCAAGGATTATTTTAATGTTTCCATGCCTGCTTTAATAGGTACTTTAGGTAAAAATAAAGCGCTTATTTAAAATAATGAAATATTAAGTTAGTTTTAGGCATTGTACATTCACATTCACTGGACCTAAGGGCAAAAGTTAATTCTGTGTAATTGTCTCTAAATAGAAAAATGCTTGTCAACTTCTAAGATATGTGTAAATATGTAGGATACATGTTTATCACCTCAAGTACATTAAACACAGAGATACCTAATTTATTTTACTATAAAATTTTATCCATGGTAAATCTTACAATATAGGGAATATTATTATGGAATTAAAAGTACATTTAAAATCACTATTTTGAGGTTGTTAGGGAGAGAGGAATAAAAATAAGGCAAACATTTCGTTAAATTTATAAATGAAGTCCGTAAGTTCATTACCTATTCTTCATATATAAAAATACTCTGAAAATATTTATTCTCTAATTTCCTTCATAGGCTTTTATGAATAGCTAATACCTAGTATCTTGTAAAGGTATTTTAGTGCATTCATTTAAAAAGAAGTATCGATATAATTTTAATGTTTAGTAAGTTGAATACATAATTATAAATGATCATTTAAATATTAACAGTTTTTTCATAAATAACTTAACTAGTCACCACATGGAAACCTACATGTTTGATTCTTAAACAACTTTCAAATTATTGTGGGAAACTTAGTGGCTTTTCATGCAGTTTCTATTTAGGTTGTATAGTAAACGTTTTCAGAAATATTATAACATATCAAACTTTTAGAAACATTACAACATATCAAAACTTTCTCATTATTCTTTAAGCCACTGCAGGGTATCATTTAATCTTTCATCTTGAATAAATTAACTTTTCTTAAAAATTATTAACCAGATGCCGTATGATCTGAAATTTGATTAGAGTTGTAAGTAGGTACTAGTTTTTGACTTTGACTTCCCCTGGGAATGTCACTTCATCGCGGAACAATTTTCTGTTCTACTAAGATGTGATCAGATGTTGCAGAGTGGGAGGAGGATTTGTAATTTTGAATGAAAACTAATATATATGCAGGACTTCTTTAAATCACCCAGCTGTTGGCCGAGAGCAAATATTTCATATTTGTGAGGAAAAGCTGAGAAAATTCCTTTTGTTTACAACTGCCAAGTCCATCTGATGGAAGCACATTGTTATCTGACAGCCAATTCATCTCCTTGGGACTCAGGAATTCAAAACCATTTCTTAGGAACATTGTGGATACACTTTTCAAATATTTATTTTTAAAAATACATCAAATGCAAAGGCAGTTTTGCTTATGAATGCATGCATTCCAGTTTTTGTGCAATAAACTATTTTAAAACTTTTTAGTATATTATATTAAAAAGTGAAAATAAAAGAAGCTATCCAGGGAGTTCTTTATAACATTTCTATGGCCTGTGGTATATATCCTTATTTTAGTTGGTGGTATCCTTAACATCACAGAAATTGCCTTTTTTTTTTTAAATCTCCAAGTGTAAGAGAAAGGAAATAATCAATGAGTTAACTTTTAGCTAATTATATGTTGTATGAGCTTACATGTTTTTTTTTTTTAGCAATTTAGATGTGAATTTTTAATGGAAAGTCCAGATTATGAAAAGGTATATGATTGCAGATTTATGTTGTAAATGCCATTCATACAATATTTATAGTAACTTAATTTCCATTCTTTGTGAGGAGAAAAATAAATAAATAAAATTAATTTTATTTGTGTGCAAGTTATGGTTTTAAGTTATTTTTTTCATTTTAAAATGGTAAAATCAAAGCAATTCCAAATGATGGTTGTGAGTATTTTAAAACTATAAGGTTTTTTTCCCATTTTATTTTTATGTTTTGTAGAGTTTTATATCTAGAGAGAGAAGACAAACCTGAAAACAGAAAATAACATCAGTGCCTTTTTAGAAATCCAACTTTTAATCTATACGAACCAGGGTCATGTTGTTAAGTTGAATTAAATTTTATCATAGAATGAGCAAGTCATTATTTGTAAGTCAAAGCATTATAGTTAGAAGAGAGGGATTTATTCCCACCTAAAAGAATCAATGACATGTAAGACTATTAGTGAAAATCTCAACTAGATAGATATTAAAATCTACTCCCCGCTCCCTCTCTCTTCACACTTCTTTCTATTGTGTAGAAAACAACATCAGATGGTATGATCATCATCAGAATTCATGCTTATGAATCATTGTAAAAGAAATAAATTTTAATCAGGCTTATAGAGCATGAGCACACATTACTTCGGTATAGACAGTTTCTGACTGTACTCCCAGAGCTGATGTGGGCAGCAGCACCTTTTCATGGGTGCTCTGTGCTGCCAGTAGTACCTGCACATCTGGGATGAAAATGAAGCCGCGAGAAGGTGCCCCAGGTAGATTCTATTAGCAGGTCTTATTGCTTCATCCAAATGTTCAAATGAAATCCAATGTACTTGCACGACTAGTTATTAATTAAGTGCAATGGAAATTAATTAAGGAAAACAAACTACAAATAAACTATAGTAAACAACTGAAACTTTTAGGAAATACACTTTTTTTTAATACTTCACAGAAGACACCTGTATATATTTGCAATAAAGTCTCCATTTAGAACTGTCAATTCAAGGTATTTCTTGGCTGGTACATAATGTTTTAGGGTCAAAACAATCACTTTGGGACCCAGGACTTTTGTGTGCTGGGCTAAAGTTTTGATGTTCACTTACAATTTATGGGATTATGCTGTAGTCATTAACGTTCTAGTTTAGGCCTTTTAAGGAGACCCAGGCCACTTCCGTGTTTCATTAGTGAAATTCATCTGCTTTAGCAAGTTTCTTAATAACACAAATGCAAGAGCATGAAAAGGTTTTTGAAAATGTTTAAGGTTGTCAAAAAAATATTAGGACATTTTATCCTACTTGCAATGAAATGCTTAGATGCAAAATAAAATACTTATAGTAGATTATGTTAATGACAACCAATCACATACCATAGAAAGCCTGGGACGTTAGGCTTTTCATTAACTTGACCCTCAGTTTATACCCTCGCAATAAGGAAACTGCAGAAATGAGAAAGGCAAGGGCTAGGACTGCTCTTCTCTTCTTACCAGTCCTGTGTAAACGTGTGCTTTTCAAACCAGGATTGCTTTAAACTCTCCAAGTTGTAGACTCTCTGGGTGCGAATTGCAATTTTCCTACTAACTTGGTCAAGAGTCCTGAAAATATGATAGTAAAGTCATCTAAGGAATCTTGGAAAATAAACCTGTCCCCTTACTATTTTAAAGTTTCTACCAAGATGATATAAATGTACTCATCTTAATTCACAAATGTCTAAATCCCGATTTAGCAGAGCCTAAATATGCCTCAACACTACACTGTCCTGAAAGGATACGTAAAAGGCACATCGATTATTATTTTTTAAGGTGGCGCTGCATTCGTTTTTCTGCGTGCACACACCATTTATATGTACACCTGTGGCAGCCAGTGTGAGGCTGAGGCTGAGGTTTTGTCACAGGTCGTTACACATGAGTTCAGGTAGAGAAGAGGCTGGGAGCAGGTCTGAAGAAGAGCACCCCTTATCCCTTGTTCACCAGGGAGGGGTAGGGAGTCCCTCTCCTGCCTAATCCTGCAGTTTGTGGGCAACACAGAACACATTCCTCTTCTTTTTTTAAAAAAAAAAATATATATTTTTTTATTGATTTTTTTACAGAGAGGAAGGGAGAGAGATAGAGAGTTAGAAACATCGATGAGAGAGAAACATCGATCAGCTGCCTCCTGCACACTCCCCACTGGGGATGTGCCCGCAACCCAGGTACATGCCCTTAACCGGAATCGAACCTGGGACCTTTCAGTCCACAGGCCGACGCTCTATCCAGTGAGCCAAACCCGTTTCGGCCACATTCCTCTTCTTAACGTGGGGGCAGACTCACGTGCTAACCTCCTTGGAAAAGAATGCAAGCTCATCTCAGAAGAATTGTTCTCTGGCAACTTTACACCTGAGTTTAAAACCAGTGCAGTGATTTTCTTGGGAAAGGCTCTTTGAAGAGCATATCAAACCTTAGAAACTGGGGCAGAGTACGTACACTGCATCATATAAAAATGTTCA